ACAGCAAGCAGATTTGAAAAGTAGCAACATCAAAACAGAAAAGTAGAAGATTTTCTGATCTTTCATCCTGAAATCTGTTTGGGGCCTATCACAACGCTAGGTTAATGACAAAGTGCTCTTCATCAACCAGGATTACGGTATCTATTCTTGGCACCAAGTCTTGGCACTTTGGTTATGGCAGGCTATAGGACCACATAGCCCTTGTTCCTTAGGAGGGCCTTTCTTCAAAGGCTGGCTTTTCTTTGTCTCTCTGCAAGGGACGCCTTTAGCCTTTCCTCCCAAGCGGATTCTCTCTCACCCCTGGCCTTTCTCAGCAAGGCAAAAAAAAAAAAAGAGTTAAAGTTGCTCTTTAGCAGCCTCACATCAATAATACCCAGGGAAATACCTGGATCTGTGAATAGTTGTTTATAAACTCTGATTCACAGGGTCTCAGGCGGTGGTGTAGCAATTTGGGTGACTGGTTGGATGGGGCATGACAATGATCATGAGGATGGCCCAGGACTGGGCAGTGTTTCGTTCTGTTGTAATAGGGTTGGAACTGACTCCACGCACCTAACAACACCGACAAACAAGCCTCGCCACGAAACGTAATAGTCAGACAACACTTAAAACCAAACCTGTTGCCGTCGAGTTGATTTCCGACTCATAGCAACCCTATAGGACAGAGTAGAACTGCCCCACGTGGTTTCCAAAGAGCGGCTGGTGGATTCGAATTGCTGAATTTTTTAGCAGCCTAGCTCTTAGCCACTGCACCACAATACTTCGTGACATGCTCTTCACCTACTCCTCTAGGGTACTGTAAGTTCTATCCTTGGATCAAACAAGGTCTTTAGACTACAGTGTCTTTATCCGTCTTGAAACCCTTGGCTGACTAACGAGGATCCCGGCAAGAGGCGGGTATGTGACATTCACGCCTACATTTGCCGTAAAAACACTATGGAGTACGGTGTCTACCACACCACTCAATGCCCCCAATATTAAACCCTTTGAGAGAATTTGTTTTAGATTACAGTACCGCAGAAGAAATGTCTTGCTGAATAACTCATATGCTTCTTCCTTCATCCTAATAACAGCAATTTATTTTTTTTAAATAACAATGATTTTAATGATTATCCTCCACCAACCTGCAACTAGGAAGCTCAGAGCCAAATCTGATGCCAAATACATATATATATACACACATATATATATTAATTCTTGATACTAACATGTTTGTACTTTTCCTTGGTATTATTTTCTATTTCTATTACCCTTATTGTTATATTTGTATATAAAGGAAAATTCTTCCTGATTTATCTTCTCTCTTGATAGAAAGCTAAAGCAAAGATCTTTTTGTTTTTATTTTATTGTGCTTTAGGCGAAAGTTTACAGAGCAGATTATTTTCTCATTCAAAATCTATACGCAAATTGTTTCGTGACATTGGCTGCAATCCCTGCATTGCGTCAGCACTCGCCCCCTTTCCTCCCTGTGTTCCCCATTTCCATTCGTCTAGTTTTCCTGTCCCTTCCTGCCTTCTTGCCTTTGCTTTTGGGCAGGTGTTGCCCATTTGGTCTTGCAGTGATTGATCTAAGAAGCATGTTCCTC